AGAKATWWKRGGGGGAGTAGTTACATAACTGCTCCCTTATTTTCAAATTCAAAATGAATTTGAATTTCTGGATTTTAATTAAATCCTACGTCTCCCACTCGCACATAATGTGCTTTCATTATGGGCGAAYCACACAAAAAACACTATGTTCCATCTTCTTATGGGGCTCTTTTAATGTCTCAAAAACAGGAAACACATTCTAGTTCACCAACATAAAAATCATACAAGAAAAACAGGTTGTGTGATCGTCATACTTTAATTTCGAGAGCGAGTCACTTTACAACTGTTAAGTATGTAAAGCAACTTGAATAAGTGAGTAGAGTCAGTATGAAGTGCCCTAAAGTCATTTAGTCACATTTATCACAACTCAAGATCTCCTTTGAAATATTAATTTCATATATGTGTGTATTCACAATTATATTACAAAAATATAATTGGTTGACCTGTGAATACACTATAATGTGACACTCAAAATGATTTTCCCTTCCCTAAAAGATTTCCATTCTCAAAACAACTGCTTTCTAGGTAGGTCTCATTAGATCGAATCATTCATAACCATTAGCAACCTCCCTAAGAAAGCTAACATTGTAATAGAACTTCCAAATTTTAGCCAAAAACTGTTGGAAAAAATAAATAAACCCTAATTCATGATTATTCTAAAACAAAAGTCATAAAATTCCAGAACAATCAAGACCAATGATCTAAGCATGGCAAAATCTATAAAGAGATTAGAATTACCTGAAACCATTAGATAGATTGACCACGATCTGCAAGAAGTTGTGGTTTGTGGTCTTCCTCAACTATGCAACCCAAACTAAATATGGGCAATACTCTCTGTTTGATGGGGAACAGGAGGCTCAAGAAGCATAGTGTATTGGGRACCATAACCATATATTTATWGGTTAATCCTAGGGTTTCCCATAATCCCCTACGATTAATGGGCTGGTTTCTACTCAACAAGCCACACCACTAAATGGGAAGTCATGGGCCCATAATTAAGATCATTTGTATGCCCATTAAATAGCCCGAATATAATTGCTCTTTGATYTGTTACCCACATATGAATTAATTATTAAATTAATTCCAACAAAAAGGTCATAAGGGTACTTGTGGAGATTTCTTAATCTCACGGGTCTCAAACRACAAAGAAGTAGAGATCAATTAACTTTTGCTACCCTTGGTGGTTAAATTGTACACATGTGGTATGAAACACGTGTTACAGTATTTTACTCTTTGCCGTTAGAGCGTATGTCTCAACCAAATACTGTACAGATGATAGTTCAGATATACTCAATATCTAACTTGAGTCCTCAACTCTTCCATAATAATTTATCAACTAATGATAACAAGAMTTCCATCTGGCATTYAAAGACAGTTTAAAGTGAATAATGGGATTTATCACCTTCGATCATAATATGTTCTCATCTTGATCACATATCAAGGCGATATCTCATTTTAAGCTGGCACTTGCTCTCATATTTTATTGTACTACTACAACAATAAAAATGCTTAAAATTATCTCATTTCTAACTGACACACAAGTCAAAGAAGTGATTGCTCGTGTGAGAGAGCCAATCTACTATCCAACATACTTCTCATTAAACGTACTAATTTGTGTGTATACATAGTAAAGTACAAAACTTTATTACATAGTTTAAAATACACAATACAATTTGCTCAAAAATACAAACTTAAAGTCTTCGCAATCCTAAATATTTAATGTGACTATTAAATAAATCTCTAGGAATAGGCTTAGTAAAGGGGTCTGCAACCATGTTGCTCATTGATATATATTGCACATTTACTTCCTTTTGTGCAATCATATCTCTAACAAAATTGTATTTGATATCTATGTGCTTTGTSTTAAAGTAATATTTGGGATCCTTCGTGAAAGTTATAGCAACCTGACTATCACAGTTTACCAATATTGAGTCAGGGGCACTTTCTTTAAATCCCAATGACTTAAGAATCTCTTAAGCCATACTGCTTCTTGTACCGCCACTGAAAGTGCCACAAATTCAGCTTCCATTGTAGACAAGGCTATACAAGTTTGTTTCTTGCCACTCCAAGATATTGCTCCATTATTGAGTAATAAGACATATCCCGAGGTGGATTTTCTTTCATCCATATCTCCTCCCCAATCAGCATCCAAGTAGCCTTCTAATTCTGAATTGTTTCCTTGGTAGCACAGCGAATACTTCATAGTGCCTTTGAGATATCGAAGTATTCTCTTAACAGCCTTCCAATGGGGTTGGCCAGAGTTTGACTGGTATCTACTTACCATGCCAACGGCAAAGCAGATATCTGGTCTCGTACACATCATAGCTTACATGAGGCTTCCAATAGCACTCTGGTAAAGAACTTTTCTCATGAGCTCTATTTCCTCAGGAGTCGTAGGACACATTATTTGACTCAAATTTTCGCCTTTTGCGATAGGAGTATCAATGGGTTTGTAGTCTTGCATATTAAATCTTTCAAAAATTTTCTGGATGTATTGGCTTTGTGACAAGGCTAACATCCTTTTAGAGCGATCTCTTTCAATTTTAACTCCAAGTATATAAGCAGCCTCACCCATATCTTTCATTTGAAAGTTTGAGGATAATCATTCTTTAATGGCTAACACATACTCCTTATMYTTTCCAGCCAACAGTATGTCATCCACATATAGTGAAAGAATCACAAACTTATCTTTGTTTGTTTTGACATACACATAGTGGTCCTGATCGATCATATGAAAATCATATGAGATAATTACTTGGTGAAATCTGATGTACCATTGTCTTGAAGATTGTTTAAGGCCATAAATTGACCTTATTAATTTACATACTTTATCTTCTTGTYCTTCGGTAACAAAACCGATGGGCTGCTGCATGTAAATTTCTTCTTCTAATTCACCATTTAGAAATGTTGTTTTTACATCCATTTGATGTAATTCCAAATCTAAACTGGCTACTATGGCTAGAATGAGTCTGATAGAGGTAAACCTCACAAAAGGCAAGAAAGTCTCATCATAGTCTATTCCTTCCTGTTGTGTGAATTCTTTTGCTACAAGTCTTGCTTTATATCTATCAATAGAGYYGTCAGCCTTGCGCTTAATCTTAAGAATCCATTTGTTACCAATTGCTTTGCATCCTTTTGAGAGATCGATTGACTCCCAAACATTATTAACTTTCATTGACTCCACTTCTTCTTCCATTGCTTTCATCTATTTCTCTCTATTGGGACATGGAAGAGYTTCCTGATCACTTCTCGGCTCTTCATCATCATCAGGTGTAATCATATAAATTTCATAGTCAAAACGACGTTTCAATATTCTACCACGATTACTACGTCTTATTTGTGGTTCTRTTGATTGTTCACGTGTTCATTCCATTGAATCACGTGACAACTRATCAATTGAGTCACGAGTGGTTTGTGGTTCGTTTAAATCACACATAGTGTTCAGATATCTCCCACTTGGATGAGATACTGTTGGTACAGTWCTAAGACTATCCCATGATGGATTTGATAAAAGCAAATCATTCTGATTATAATTTTCAAATAGGGATATCTCATCACTGATCTCACCTCTTCTTGGAAAATCATTCTCCAAGAAAGTAGCATCTCGTGATTCAAATTCAGGTACACTCTCACTTTCTTGTTCACCAATGAACACATATCCTTTTGAGTGTTCTGAGTATCTTATAAATATACTCTTTTTACCTTTTGGACCTAATTTCCCATGTGGATGTGATGACTCATGTACATTAGCAGCACAACCCCATGGCCTTAGACCACTAAGGTCAGGTTTTCTACCAGTCCATAACTCATAGGGTGTGGAAGCAACAGATTTGGAAGGCACATGATTAAGGATATAAGCAGCGGTCAATAGAGTATCACCCCAAAAAGTGATTGGTAATTTCGCTTGAGCCGTCATTGACCTAACCATTTCAAGAAGAGTTCTATTTCTTCTTYCAGCTACTTCATTCTGTTGAAGTGTACGAGGAGTAGTTAGTTGCCTTACTATACCGTTTTCGTCACATAGCTGTCTAAACTAATTAGACAGATATTCACGCCCTCGGTCAATTCGTAAGGCCTTAACCTTTTTATCTAATTGATTTTCTACCAAGTTTACAAATTTTCTAAAACATTCTAATGCTTCAGACTTGTGGGAAATCAAATAAACATGACCATAACGTGTGAAACCATCTATGAAAGTGATAAATGTCTAGCCTTTATACTCATGGGTCCACAAATATCATAATGAATTAATTGTAATGGAATTTCAGCCCTAGTTCCCTTACCAAATGGTTTTCTTGTCATTTTTCCCGCTAGACAGCTTTCACATAAAGGTAATTCTATTTTGTCAAATTGACCTAATAAACCTTCCTTAGCCAATCTAGTCATTCTATGTTGACCTATATGACTTAATCTAGCATGCCACATAGTCATGTCAACTTTAGCATCAACAGATGACGTTATAAGGGAAAAACTTGCATAATTGTAAGATATCGTTTCAAYAACATCCAGTACAATAAAACCATTAAAAAGAAAACCATAACCATAATGTATGTTGTTCAAAGACAGAGTTAATAAGTCTCCAGCCAAAGTAAAAGTGTAACCAAGATTGAGAAGGACAGTAACAGAAAGCAAATTTCGCTGAATATCAGGTGCATACAACACATCATGCAGAAGTAGAGTGCGTCCATTCCGCATGTGCAACTTTCAGGAACCAATGCCCTTTACAGGCACACGGGCATTGTTTCCTACATACAGCCAACTAGCTCCTGATGGAATTCGACGAAATTCCACATACACCCCACGATCTTTAGCTACGTGGTCGGTTGCTCCTAAGTCTACAGTCCACAAAGGATGAGAGTCAGTCAATAAGACAGAGCTAGAAACACAACTTTCAAAAGTAAAAGAATAAATCTTAAACATTTTAAAAGTATGTACCTTCTTGGGTTCAGTACACCCATGAGCATAATGACCCTTTTGGTGACAATTGTAGCAGTTGATATTTGCTTTCTTGTTTTTAGGACGAACCATATTTCTTAATTAAGAGAAGAATATTTATTTAATGTATTTTAATTTTAAATTTAATCATTTCCGCTGCTGTTCTAATATCGGAGACAGCAAGTAGGATTTTGGAGCCATATTTAAAGAGACTGCTACGTGGGTTGGTCACCTTTTTGGATTTAACAAGATTGATATAAGCATTTAAAAGTTATTTTTTTTATTTGGTAAATAAAAGAAATAAGCTCTTAGCTAATGTAAACTAAAAAAAAAAATTAGATAAAGTAAAAGATAAAGCATTGTACTCCAATCTCAAAATTTGTTGATCCGTTGGGAAAATGTCGTGATTCCATCACTAAGTATATTTTTAGATTCAAAGCAAATCTGCGAAAAAAGATGGATTGTATTAAGTAATTTATAAACTTGAACTCATCATCTAACTTGGTAAATAAATATGAACTTTTTATTAAAATAGAAATAAAAACGAAAAATAGAACAGAAATAAAACCTTAGAAAGTTTGAAACCTAAGATGGTGAAAATAACCCCAAGTTTTGTCTGAAAATTTTTTACAAAAAGCAGTGCCTTATTTAAAGGGAAAAAATAAATTTCCTAAAAGATTGAGATATGATTATTCTATAGGATTTGGAATTACATTATAATATGGAATTGTTTTCTTCTTGCAAACCTTGGATTTTGAAATTTATATCTTAGACATTTGATATTTTTTTTTCCAATGAGGAAAMAGGTACGACTTTAAAAAAAAAATTTCAAATATTGCTTAACAAAAATATTTTTCAAATATTAAATATGAAAGTAMGTTATTGAAAACGCTTTTTCCCCTTCTTTCTCTTAAATTCCAGATTTTGGATACAATTTTTTAAAAATATTTTGAGAAATCTCAAACCATAACATAAATTTAAAATATTTTTTAACAAGTGTTTTCAAGTTTTTTATTTTAAATAAAAAATACATATTTTTTTAGGTCAGTCCACATACTTAAGAGTAAAAATTAATTACTAAATTCTACCGTCTCTCTTCTCATTTTTTTTTAATTCTAAAATTACTAAATTTGACTATTGGCCAACATAAGCTTAGTTTAGCGTTAAATGACATCAATATATGAAGTAAGAGGTCATGAGTTTGAACCCACAACCTTCACTTATTGTACTAAAAAAAGAAGTGACTATTGAAATTTTTTTTTCTTTTTTTTCCAATTTCTCTTTATTTATTGTTATTTAAAATTATTTTTAGGCATCTTCACTTATTCCCTCCTCCACATTTGACATGTTTCTCTCCCTTAAAACCAAATTTATTCATTCTTTTCCTTTTGTTCTTTTTCATTGTTATTTAAAAATTTTTATTCACTTTTAATTAAATAATTAGTGTCTACACTGAATTTTAACTAATTGAATTACTCTAAAACCGAATTAAAAAAAGATAGTCAAATTAATTAATAACATATTCATCAAGATAATCTTTAAAAAATAATGTAAATATCTCAAATCTTCATTTGTCGGAGTAATAAAGCAGTCAAATCAAAATATAAAATTCATCGATTGATCTCTAAAATCCAACTATAAATTTTATTATATGACATAAAAATGTATATAAAAATTTTAAAAATACATTACAAACGTGTTAGATAATGTTAAAAACAATTAAAGTTAAAAGAGTTTAAATTTAAAAGTTAAAATAAAATAATTTAAACTTTTATGTATTTTTTTAATACAGTGTAGAGATGGAAAATTGAACTCACAACGTTTTTGTTGGAGATATATATCAATTACCTCAGCTGTGCTCCCTTTGACAATTTAAATTTTAATTAATAACAATGAAAAAGTATGAAGAAATCTAGTTTGAATGGAGAAAAAGTCTAAAAATGAAAATGGAGGAGAGAAGTAAGGCCAAGAATAGTTGGGGGAAGTTGGGGGAATGCTATGTTGTTTACTAGAAATTTTCTGGAATCAAAATCAGAATTTTTTTTTATGATGTTTACTAAAATTGTCTGGAATCGGGATCGAAGTTACTAGTATACACCTTTYTTCTTTCTTGCKGGTTACAAATACATTATTGTGCTAATCTTTTTTTTAATTAAAATGATAATAAATTTTAATTTGTTTCATTACTATATTATTAGAACAACCACATTTAATATAAAATATTGTTCAATTTTTATTATTCTAATATTTAATAACAATTAATTATATTTAAAAAATATTTACTGATATTAATTAACAATAACAAAGTAAAATTTATAATATTTTATAATAAAATCACATCGGCTAATAAAAGTTGTATAAATTTTTATTAGAAGAAATATTATTAATAGCATAAATAAAAAAGAAATAATCAAAGTACAAAATTGTTAACTAAAAAAAGTTATAAGCCTCCTTAATAAASGAAAGAGATAAGATAAAAATAGTAAATTAATTATAATAAATATATGTGGCTCACCAAACAAAGCATGAGACTGAGATTGATGATGTTGTAGGAAAGAAATTAGATTACCCATTTTGAARGGGAGTAATTATCAAGTTTGGTATGAGTCCCACCTTTTGATTTCATTCCTACTGTTTGGTAAACACTATCTAAAAATGAAAAAATTAATTCACATTCTTTTGATCRAGTCAGTAAACATGGCCTAAGTGAAGATTTCTAATTTTTTTTGTTATAAGTAAAATAAGGTGGATTAGTTTTCCTTCCATGTGGACCCACTTAAAAAATTTTATATATAATAGATCTAAGTGGAAATTTTTCATATTGCGAGAGTACTAGAAATTTTTCCTCTGAGGTCATTACACGTTGAGCTTTAAAAAAAAAAACAAAAATAATATAATTGAGTTGTCAAAATAAAAATTCACAAATTAATTAATAATATAAAGATTTATAGAGTATTGCTGGAATCCTTCAAATTCATTGGATTCCGTTCATCCACCAAAAGAATTGGTTACGAATTTCATCCCWCTTTGGAAAAATATAATTAAGACTTGATACATTTTAAAATAATTCTACATTTTAAGATAATGCATATATTGCACGATAAAGGAAATTATATTTAGGACAACCAATGCATCAAATAATTCTTCTCGTCATTTCCCATTTATGCATTCAAATAATTAAAAACAAGTAACCACACAGATTTCATTGAATTCATGAATTTTTCCTTGAATTTAAGATTATTTTCCATCGGGTATAAAAAGGGGAGGAGACCAAACCCTTTGAAACAAATCAGAAACAATGAATCCGTTGGTAAATTTTTGTGTCATTTCATATGTTGTTTTGGCATTGGCAATGGTGGGCAAGCCATGCTCCGCAAGCTCAAAAGTTCAGCATCCATTTGCTTCATATACGGTGACGGTGATAAACGGTTTGAGTCCGGGCAAGTCTATATTCCTCAACTGCAAATCGAGAGACGACGATCTCGGCCCTCATACACTACAAGGGGGTGAATATTTTTCCTGGAAATTTAGAGAGAATTTCTTAGTGACCACCCTTTTCTGGTGCTTCGCAAGAACCACAACGCACTATCATGCGTCGTTCAATGTATTTTGGCGAGAGAATCAGGACTGGCTCTCTTACCGATGCAACTATGCAACTTGTATTTGGGTTGCTCGAGATGATGGTATTTACATTAAAAATATCCCTCAAAATACCTTGGAGTTCGTGTATAAATGGTTAGATGGTGATAATTAGAAGACACAACGCCGCACTACCAAATAACTGTTACAAAACTTTTAAAATTCACAAATGTTGTTGAGAATGTTATCTACACACCATTATATGTAACAGCAACACATCTTGTAAGCTCATTATTTATGAAATGCAAAATAAGTTAAAGGTTTTCGTTTCTGTTTGTTATTTCTTGTACCATATTTTAGCATTTGATCATTGTTTCTTGTTTCTTGTTATTTTTTTAACCGAAAGAAACCAACCAGAAACATGTTTAGATACCTAATAATTTTTTTTTTCTAAAATTTTAAATTAAATAAAGTAAATCTTTTATATGAAAATAATTTTAAAATCAAATATTCAAATTTTTTTATGTTATATTTATTTTTTTAATATTTATTACGTATTTTATAAGTTAATAATGATAAAATGATGTCTAAAACAAAACAACAAATAAGAAACATTTCTTAAAAATAAAAATATCTAAAAATAGAAACAGTTACTAAATACAACTCTATTAAACGAGCATTTAAGTTACTGTTCTGGAAAATTTGACTACAATAATTAAGTAGGTAGGATAAATGAGGACAAATCCAACCATTAATCAGTGCGTTTTCTGTGGGTCTTCTTTTATCGAGCATAGATCAGTGGTAATTGACATACATACCTCTAATCAAGAGGTTATGAGTTCAAATATCCTCCCAAATATGTTGTATAAAAAAAAATTTTGTTCCAATTTAACTACAAAAGAATGTAATAAAAAATTATTGGATTAATTTTAATAATAACGTATTTTAAAGGTAAATTACAAGTGCAAATTTCAAAGTAATAACAAAATAAATGTAATTTAAATAAAAAAAATTATAAAATTAAGTTAGACATCTAAACTATTGACAAAATAGGTTAGATGTTAGTCAAAGTCAAAATTCGCATACATTTTATGCGATTTAGGTGGTAATACATTTTATGSGATTTAGGTGGTAACACGTCATATGTGAAGTAGATACGAGGGGATGAGGCAGTAGGAGAAAGTGTAGTGTGTACACTGTTCATTTTAGTGGAAGTAGATAATACTATATTGAGATTTTCTTAAAATATTTTTATTATATTTAAATCTGTCTTTTTATTTACTTTACAAACAAAATATTATTTTTTATATTAGTATTTTAG